TGAGGGCTTAAATTATTTGATAATAGTCCTGTAGAGTTGAACTCATTTTGGTGCACTGTGGTTCTAAATTTGTTAATTTTGCAGCTTGCTTCTGTCTCTAACAATCTTAATCGAGACCATTCAGATGAGACTTTTCCAGTATGCTGGAGAGCTGGTTATCAACTCAGGTATATGATTGAACAGACCGTAAATTCCAATATTGGATTAATTATGGATAGACCCCCAATAGTATCACTGTTTTGAACTTTCTACCACTCTAGTTTTTTTCGCACATAGAAGCCTTGAGCAAATTTTTTTTGACTCGGTAACCCCCAGGGGTCTATTAGTCAACAAACAATTTCTCCTTCTCTGGGGGTAAAATATTCAGAAAAATTCACTCGGAAGTCTACCTGCAAAAATAAATCTAGAAGGATAGTAATTTCAGAAAAGGGGTATTACAGGGGGTCTGTCCACAATTAACCCTCAAACATTTTGTACTATGAACTTTTAGTCATGCATTTTTTTAAATCATCTTTAGTTGAAAATTTGAATATAAACCTGGCATTTTTTTTGCAATTGATATATTACATGTTTCTGGGGTCAGTTTCAGCAACTATGTGACAGTGCTAAATCATATAGAAGTATTTAACCAAGCAATCGACCTATTATCTTGGTCTAGTTAAAACTTAAAACTAAGAATAACATATTATGTTTGCTTCCCTGATCTACTCACAGGAGTATGCTCTGTATAAATCAAACAAGATAATGTATTTTGTTTTTCCATTTAGGACAGCCTTCTACTTGATTGTCCCAGTTTAAATAAATTCCTGCCCTATTACTTCTTTGTTTTGCAGATCTGTGAAGGACGTCGAGCAGTTCTTTCCGCCTTTAACTCTGCAATTTGGAAACAGATGGCTGATAATGTCCACAAAGTTCACTATCGCTCCGGAAGGTTATTTAATAATAAGTGTAAGATAACATGTCGCTATTTTTGTAAGCTTTCTTTGATTATGTTCAATTATCAATCACAGTGCCATCAATGAAACATATTTATCTTCGTGAATGCAGAGTAAAGGTAATGTATGCTTAGGAATACTCAACGGAAGTGATGTACACGATGGATCTGCAATTATTCTAGGAGGTATGTTCTAGAGTTTCATATAGGATAAGCTGGTATATTAGATTACGTCTCATCTGAGTTAGAAATAAGGTTTATTTTCACTTTAGTACCCCAAAATTTACCCATTTTTTCACTTTTATACCCCGAAGTATGTTCCTCTCTTGAATACCTAAAAGTTTCAACCTCATTTGACTTTGATGCCCTCCTCGTCTAGATTCTGATAGATTTCTTGTTAAATTTGTATCATGTGCTTAACACAGATATATCTAGGTCCATTTTACTGAGTTTTCAGGGACACAAATTTAACAGAAAATCTAGTGAAATCTAGGGGAGGAATCAAAATGAAATGAGATCAAAATTTTGGCGTATCAAAGTACAGAATGGGCAACTTTGGAGTACAAAAGTGAAAATAAGCCTAGAAATAGCGAAGAACCTATATTTCATTGTTCCGAGAATGTAACGAATTTTATGGTTTGCAGACATTTCGCTGCGTGGGAAGTTGATTGTGTATGATAACATGGCAGAAAAGATTGGGTGGACTTCATCCAACTGTGTTAAGCCTCAGAGAAGACCCAAGGACTTCCCCTTCTTCTTCTAGTGAGGACCATGCATTTTGAAGCACGGCTAAGGGTGTTCATATTATGTTTATAATCATAGTCACTCAAAAATATGCATGTTCCTTGAGTTCCACCACCTTAATGGATCATTATCTTTATTATTTTTGTATCTTCTCATTCGATATGAATCCAGATCTCTTGCATGTTAGCTAAGGGGCTACTCTATACAGTGTTATATTAATAATCAAAACTCTCAGTTGCAGTCTGGGACAATTGCAAGCTTATGTATTACTGATGTCTGCTCCTGTTATTTATAGGCAAAGTTCGTTTGTATTGAATATATAAAGATATCAGATACTCTGAAGGGGGAATATATATTTTTTGTTTGTATGGGGGCCAACAGATCATCATTATAAGATTAAATGCATGCATGTGGAATATTGTTTATTGATTTTTTGTAGCAATCAGGGGTTGAAGTAAACAAATGGTACTTTTAAAAGCCGTGAAAGTGACACAAGGAGCATTGGCATAGAAATTGTTGTGTTTATCATACAAAGTTGAGTGGGAGGTGGCATGGACTTCTCAGTAACAAGTTGATGCAGCAAATGCTCAACAACTAATGATATCCAATATACATTTAGATCGTTTATCACATTTACAGAGCCACCAGTCTACACTTTTACAGACAAAATAGAGTACACTTCCTCCAGCAAACTTCACCTGCGCCATGATCGTTTCTTAAATAAAAGTTCAAGCATATGCTTCTGGTTCGTACGAGAAAAGTACCTTTGGTTATTTTAACCGGCTACGCCAGAAAGAAAAAAAATTGCACTCTTATTCATCACTTCGATCTAATTAACTTCAATAACCTCTCACATAACCCGGAGGGTTCTGTAACTGGTTCATCTACACAATCCTGAAATTGTGCAGCCTCAGCTAACTCCTCAAAAGCATTCACAACATTCTGAAGCCTCGCCACAAACTCAATCAGAAGCGAAGCAAACGTTGCAAGTGACAATGCACTTGCACTCTCATAAGTTTTGCATTCCTCTTCATTAACCACCACATCCTCCAGATTGAAAGATCTCCGAGCTGGCCATGATATTTCATGTTCATATGTTTTTTCTGCTTTCTGCTGTTGCTGCTGAACAATGCTAGGATTATGGACATCCCAGCTTCTTGAAAAGAGCTGAAAAGATCTGAGATCTAGCCCTGCCTCACTGTGGGATTTGATTCCAAGAAATTTGTCTCCTTCGCTCTCTATGATGTTGAGACCAGAGAAGATATCATTTTTCTCTCCAGGGTTTTGGCGTTTTCCTCGGATTTCCCAACTTTCTGAGTTTACTAAAAGGTAAGACTGCCGATCTATTTTCTTTTGAAGCTCTTCAGCTGCTTCGTGGACTTCGTAGAGGATGTCATTTGAGCTTAGTTTTCTCATGGTTTTGATTTTTTCTCCAATTTCACGAAGGACCTTGGCACCTTCAGTACCTACTCTCTGTAGCTCATTGCTGAATACTTGTCTCCTTTCTGCAGGTGCCTACAGAAACAATCATTTTGATAACACAAAAATTTAACTTTAGCGATTTATAATTGACTGAGAATGTAGTGATAATATTAATGACATAGGAACAGACAGATTTTCTCATGATAGTCAATGAAGTGCATGAACTTTCAACCACGTGAGATCAAAACAATGACTCAAAAGGCTTGCTGTGAATAGAAGACTTTTGGCGAAGGATAGGATGCGTAAATTTGGTATTTCTCATAGCACTGACTTGCATGCTACGTGATATGCTGCTTTTGAAGACCATTCCCACCTTTTCTTTAATTGTTCTTTCTCTGGGATGGTCTGGAATAGGGTCTGGAATAGCATTATGTGCTGGTTGGACTTCGAATTCAGGACATGCGATTGGGCAACTCTTATGCATATTTTTGAGAAATTGAAGAGGAAAAGTTTTTGCTCTCGGGTCCACCATTTGGGGTTAGCTGCTACAGTTTATGCGCTATGGCATGAGCGGAATCAGAGGTTGCATCTTGGTCCTGGAAACTCTCCCTATCATGATATCAAAACGATTAAGCTTTTTGTGATGATGGTTCTATTCCAAGCCAAAGTTCCAGATAATTTCCAAACCTTGAGTGAACTCTTTATAGTTTCTTTGCTTTCCTGGAGATTTCTCATGTATTTGTAATGGCTTTTTAGCCATTCTTTATTTCGGTCTTGTTCTTTTTTGTGATATGTTTTATTACTCAGGAGATATCTGAGTTTTTGCTTGTACTTTTAACTCTCAATGGTAATGGAAAGAAAATTATCATTGACCAAAAAAAAAAGAAGGTTTTAGTCATCCTCTTATTTTATTTGGAATGCACTGAAAGACTTAAAAAAAAGACCTATTTTAACTTTTATACCTTGAAGTTGTATTTTGGCATTAGATACCCCAATGTTTTCAAACAGTCATTGACTTGACAATTTAATATTCCAAAGCCCTAAAATTGTTCCTTAATTTTCCTTAACTCAGGAAACTGAAATTTGGTAAGAAAATTGTTTTGCATTCAGTTTTCTATGTTGATATTCTTGAACATAATTAACACCAACTGATTCGCACTTTAGGATATCAAATTGTCCAAATAGGACTTCAGAATGTCAAATAGAAAGATGAAAACTTTTGGGTATTAGTGCAAATAACCCTTTATTTAATGTTATTTTTTTATTATTAGGGTAAGCATCGACCTGGGGGTTGTACTTTAAAACATATGATTAGCATATGAATCATACATTTGCCAACTTTTGTCCTTTATGCAGTGCCTCAACTATCTCATATAAAGAAAATGCAGTTGTTTGAGTTTAAAGAGTGAGTTTTAAAAGCAAGATCTTATAGTATAATCAAGAATATGGGAAAAAAGTAGTACCTGAATTTCTGAAAGAATGCAGCCATGCAATGCCATAACTGTGAAGGAACAGTGCCTTAGAGCACCACTAACTTTGACATAGTTCTTCCAGGGATATCTAAATTTCTTATAAGGGCCATGAGGTGGCTCCCAAATAGCAAAACCTAACTGTTGAAATTGGAAAAAAAGAAAAACAAATGTGGAATTAACCTCCATAGTAACAAGCATAATTACCAGGGTTTAAAAAAATAACTTCAGTAAAAGAATATTACGAGATTATCTTCTTGAGCTGTTGATTCAAGAACGGACCTATAACCGCTGTACACAGCATTGTCAGATGCTTGGAATGTAAGAATTTTCGATGGTACCCTCTCATATTCAACACATTGAAGGTACTCACTGACACAACCTATATAAGCACAAATTAAATCAGAAAATGACATGAAATATTCTTTTACGAAAAAGATAAATGGTCAGGTCAGTTATTCTCATTACTGTCCGTTGAGATTAAAAATTGTAACAAGGAGACTGAACATATCAAATTGATGGAGCATTATTTCTTAAGAAGCTAAACCATACTTATCAAAGTACAAAATTTCTATTGGGTGTATGGAGAGTAAATATGGACACTTTGGTTCACGTACTTTCCACATTTGAAGTGCAAGAAAAAGATTTGGATCTCTCCACTACAAAAAATCAGTGAAGAGGTTGCTACTTTTAATCACAGTCATCCCTCGTGTAACGAACGGTGCAAGTCATATAAAATCAAACACTTACCACATCCTCAGTGTATCACCTTTATGTCTACTTTTAACCAAGACAAATTACAACCGTCAGCTAAACAATATATTGTTGTGTTTACAAGTAGTAGTCTCTCCGCTAACTTTTGGTTACAAGAGAATCCAAATCCAGAAGAAAAGTGACACTTCAAAGGATGGCACATTATCATAGTAGGAAGATTCTAAATAGTTCGTTAACTTACTTAACCCTGTTATAATATGATAAAAGCATTACCACCTTCTGACATTTTACTGCACTTGCTCACTGTAAATTTATGCAAAACCCAGTATGGCAATCTCCTTCCCAATTCTAAGATAATGATGAAAAACGTTTGCGAACCAAAAAAATTCTAGTCAAGTTCTGGAAGATAAATGACACAGAGATAATGATGACAAAAAGGTATTATATTACCTTCCAAAGATTTAGCCACACCCATGAAATTCTTCACCACCAAATTATGCAAATCTTCTCCAGCCCAAATTGGATAGATGCAGACATTTACTCCAAAACCAACAGCAGCACCAATGGCAATAAGAAAAAATCGGCTAGTGGCTGTCCCAATAAATTGTCTAGTTTTATTTCCCGACACCATTACGATACAAAAAGTGAGCATGAAAACTCGAAATCCATATTCATAAGGCTTCATAGTAGGGTATAGCTTTATGAAGGTAGTGATGGAGCCTAGCATCCACAAAAAAAGATCAGAATTGGGAAGAAAAAAGTATAGAAGTAAATGAAAACTTAAGTTTGATATTTCACCAGCAAGAAAGATGCTAATAACAATGAATACTTCCTCCCACTCCCCTGCCTTGGTGCACAAAGATGCAACTCCAAGAGCGAGTCCACCAGCAGATAATGTCCCTATAGCTCGGTTAAATCCTTTGCTTAGTGTTGAGCCTACAAAAAGGAGATATGTGAATTTCAAATTTAACAATGTCTCATCTTCTATCTATATTTACTCTGGATTAAAATTAGAAAAAACTTTGGTAACAGATATATTATCATGATAATAGTAATATTCAAACACTACTTCTCATAGTCTACTAGTGATGGAAAGGTAACGATGCGTGGGAGGGTGAACCAGATGTTAGTACAGGTTGAGTGAGGGGTTATGGAGAGCCAAACACGAGATTTACATAGGGTGTGGCTGGAGTTAACCCATTTAATTTTGCTGAAAACAAAATTTAGAAGAGGGTTAAGATAAATCCTTCTATACAACGAATTAACCCCTCAAACTGAACGCTTCACTAATTGACCTCCTTAGACATGTTAACCTAAAGAAAGTAGTTATAATCGTCACTCTTCCCGAATGCTAGGAAAATATGAGGACTAAAATAAATCTTCCCTAATAGTTTAACAAATATGATCATTTGAATTAATAAATAGAATAACCAAGCTAACCAAGCTTGCAATCTAAGAGAACAAATCCTAAACTTATCCAGTCAACTGGTCCATTCCCTCAGTAAGAACTTATTACAACAAAGTCGTAGACAAATGTCAAATATTTATTCATAAAACAAAAACTACAAACATGACCTATATAGGGATTTTTCTTGAATTATAGCCACCAAAAGAAAACTTCAATCTCACATCCTAACCAATATCAATTAAAGAACTGTGGACTTCTTGGCGTTTGAATGCAATCCTCATTAACAGAAGAAAGGAACAGGACAGTGCAAACATTGCAAATTGTTGGCTCATTTGCAAAGAACACAATGATCATTTTCTCACCTCATTGATCCAAACTCAGAAAAGTATAAGGAGGAACTCGCACGTTTAGTGGAGCTGTGACATAATCATTTGATGGGACATACTAGCAGAAGATCCTAAAAACAGACTTTTAGGGGCTGTTTGTTTGCGATTGAGGCGATTTGGGTGGAAAGCCAGCCAAAACCTGCACTTTTGGCAGGCTTTCTAGCCCTTTCCCCCTAAAAAACCTCTTTTCAAACAGACTTTTAGTTATTTCCTCATCCCTATTTATACTGGCTAAATAGCACTTAAATACCTCATAGTTTCACTCACTTTGTACTTATATACTTTCACTTGTTTTTGAAGCATTTATATATCCAAAGTTGTTTAAAATTTGCAATTTGGTACCCTCTATAAGGCAATCTGAAAGTGAATTTAAAATATGTAAGTTACTTTTTTTTACAAATGACTTTTACATCCATGTCAGCACGCAAGTGAAATACAGTGTTTGTTTGAAAAATTAAATTATTATCGAAAGTGCAATGTGAAGATGACGTGGCAAAATAAGATTAATTAGAAAATATAATTAAAATCATTTAATTAAATTACTTACCTTTTTGTCACTTTCATGTGACTTCACCACTTTTTTAGGGGAAGTCAAAATTGCATTAAATCTTATGTGGCAACTTTCTTACATCTCACTTTCATAACCACTTACATGAAAACAAACACCTTAATTGTTAAATGAAAATAACTTTCTCACTTTCATCTTTCACTTGCATGCAAACAAACACCCCCAAAAGTCATTTGTAAAAAAAAGTAACTTACATATTTTAAATTCACTTTCAGATTGCCAAACACCCCCTTACTACCCTTACAGTTTGATTTTGGCAGATATACCCCTTGAGTTAAATTTTTTTTCTTTTACTCTTTTGCCGTGCATAAATTTTTTTTCTAGACATTGCCTCTGAAATTAGCGAGATGTTTTAAAAAAGGAAAAAAAACCTAAGGAGACTATCTTCCAAAATGAAACTACAGGGTAGTAAGTTCAAACCAATAAGGGGTCTACATGCAAATAAATCACAGCCCATCACAGGGTCAGTTCTTCCAAAAACCGAACTAAAAGGGCACAAGAAAATAAAATCAGAACTACCAAATCTTACCAATACTGAACTCGAAGATGACAACCACAGTGAGAAGAGCCCAAATAGAATGACTAGAAATCTCTTTCGAGGGCTCTTTGTAAAATATCAGTATCGATATAAGTGAGAGCGCCAGTCCCATTTTAGCTGCAAATATGATCTTCCTTCGATCCGAGCGCCCAAATTCCCAGAGCCTGACAGCCAATTCTTGGGCTTTCTTCCAAATTCGCCCGGCCCATTTCGATGCTCGATGGAATCGCCGGCGGCAGCA